GGCGGGGGCCGCCCTCGCGGCCGCAGCAGAGGAGCGGCTGGTCCCAGAGGCTGGGGCCGCCGACGGGCAGCCCGGCCGCGCGCATGTGATCCGGGAGTGCGTCATACCGCGTGTTGAAGGGCGCGAGGGTCATGAACCGGCAGTCCCCCAGCAGCGCCGGCGGCCGCGGCGTGCCGAGGTAGAGCGTGCAGCTGTGGCAGCTGACCGCCGTCACCTGCGCCGCCGCCGCGGTGACCGTCAGCCGCTCGCAGCTGTCGAGCCGCAGCAGCGTGCCCACTGCGCAGGCGACGACGGCGCAGTCGCTGCAGCCGGAAATCAGCACGCGCCTGCGAGGGAAGGCGGGGGCACCCGGGGCGCGAGCATGGGCAAACAGGCGCCGGCGCGGCTGCACGCACGCACGCGCTGCCGCCGGCAGGACGGCCCCGCCTGCGCCCGCCCACCGCTGCCCCATGGAGGCCGCCCCGGCCTCGACCCAAAGCGGTCCCGTCCTCGCTGGCGCATTTGCAACCAAAGCAACAACCCGCCCGCCCACCTGAGAGGTGCCAGGATGTAGATGTGGCACTCCACGCAGTCCTGGACCAGCAGCTCTCCCCCAGGCGCCAGGTCGCTCTCACCGCGCACCACCGTCCCCCTGTACACGCCCCGCACCCGCCGCTCGTCCACGTGCCCCGTCGACGCCCCCACCACGCCGCGCACGACGACGGGGTGCGTGTTGATGCGCATCCCGTGGGCCGCGGGCCCGAGGCTCAGCGGGCTCAGCAGCGGGTGCGCGCCGAGGCCGTTGGGGCCGAGCAGCGGGGACGCGCCGGGCGACGGCGGCGCGGGCGCGGCGGCGGACGCGGCGACTGGCGAGGGTGGGGCGGCCGGCTGCTGCTGCGGCTGCTGCTGCGGCTGCTGCTGTTCCCGCGTTGGAGCGGCGTCCATGGGGCCCGCTTCCCCTGTCAACGCCGCAACCCCTGCGGGCTGCCCTGCTGTAGCACCCGCCGCCGCCGGCGCCACCCCGCCGCCGCCGCCGCTCCCACTGAGAAGCGCCAGCACCGCCCACTGCTGCGCCTCGCTGCTGCCGCCGCCGCCCGAGAACGCGCCCCCCTGGCCGCCGCCGGAGCTGCCGCCGGGCGTCGGCGGCGGCACCGCGGCGGCGCCGTGGAGGCTCGCGCTCAGCCAATGGTACACCTCATCAAACATGACCGCGTCCTGCCCCCCCGCCGCAAACTGCGGCAGGCACGCGCTCAGCCGCGGCGCGGCCGCGGGCGCCGGCGCACCGCCGTCGCCGTCGCCGCCGCCCGGCGCGGGTGCCGCGGCGGCGCCGGTCGCAGGGGTGGCGAGCCCGCTGCCCGCAGGCTGTAGCAAAAAGCTGAGTCGATCGACCTCCTTTGCAGATACCAAGAGGCTGGGCAGCGACCCGCCCCGCACGAGCGCACTCTCCGCGCCCGCCGCCTCGCCGCCGGCCGGAGGCGATGCGGCCACCGCCGCCGCCGCCGCGCCACCGGCGCCCGCACCATCCACGGCCATCCCCGACGGCTGCTGCGGGTCCGCGTCTGCGGCCGCCGCCACGTCCGCGTCGGGCGCCCCTAAGCTCGCGTTGCTCCCCCGCCGCTGCTGCTGCTGCTGCTGCTGCTCCTTAGGACCTGCAAAGAGCGGCGGAACGTCCAGCACCAACTCCAGCAGCACGCGCTGGTGCTTATGTAGGTAGTCTGAAAATCCCCGCATGAGCGCCTCCTGCTGCCGCTGGCGCTGCTGGATCTGGGCCTTGATGAGCGACCGCGTGGTGGCGCCGGCGACGGGGCTCGCGCCCGCGATGGGCGAGCCTGGAGGGGCGGAGGGGCGCGGCGGCGCGCGGGAGGGCAGGCGGCCGCGGGGTGGGCGCCACGTGTCGCGAGTGCGCGCGCTCGCGCGACTCGTCGTGTGCAGGCACTCTGGCGATTCCACTCAAACCAGGCGCGAGCGCTCCCGAGCGACGAGCTCCATTACACCCCACCCAACCCGAGCTCCAGCAAGGTTACCAGGCCAGGACGCAAGCTCGCGGGGGACCCCGCCGCCGCACGCGGGGCCGCCGGCCCGAGCAGGGCCCGCCGCGGCGCCGCCTGGGCGCCGCTGAGCGCTGCGCACCTGGGCTGACGGCGCGGGCGAGCCGCGCCTCCGCGTCGGGCCAGTGATCCTGGGTCTCCGGTTTGTGCGCGTCGCGGCCGTACATCTGCGCCAACAGGAACAGCAGTAGCTGGTGTATGCTCACGCCGCCTGCCGCCGCCAGCGGCGCAGCTGGCGCACCAACGCCGCTGCCCTGCGGGCCAACAGCGGCAAGTGTGCTGAGCAGCAGCTCGCACTGCTGCTGCGGCAGCTGCAGGCAGCTTGCCAGCGCGTCCAGCTGCAGCACACCTGCACAGAGGGAGGCGCAGCGTGCACCACTCAACCATGTGCGCCCACACGGCAACAGCAGCATGCGCACACAGGTGAGCCGCAGCCCAGCCATGCGCCGGCTACGAGCCATATGACCCGCAGCTTGATCCAAGCAAGTCGCCCCCATTGAGATGCGTGCTCACGTTCGCCATCTGCTGTCTCTATGGCCTTGGCTGTCAAGCTACGATGCAACGCCAGGAGGCTGCTCGGCGTCTCTCCGAGCTGTGGCACCAGGAGCGCGATTGGCAGCGTCCCATAGATCAAAACATCCTCCCTGGGGGCAACAAGTTGCCCAGCCTCCATCCCGGACGCCGTGAGCTGCTATGGGACCCTCCACAGCCTATCTATGAGCGGTGTGATTCACGACGCCATGTTGCAGTATTATTTGCGGGTCGATCGAAGCATCGCACAGCTGCAACGCAAAGGAAAAGCCTTTGATCTGACCTCAGATCAATGGATCGGAGGATGGCATAGCTGAGGCATTGATGACATGTATGATATGTGTCGAACTACGTGTCAAGGCGCTGCTGGCGTCCATCATGTGCAAATGTCAAGGATGTCTGGCTGCAGGCTCTGGCTGCACTGCAGGCTTCCCGCGCCCATTATCGGCATCGCCATGCGCTGCAGTGACGAATTTCGCCCACACGCACTGTTGCAGATTGGGTTAACTTGACGATCACTTCACTCGGCTTACAGGCTTTAACATGTAAGCGACGTGCTGTCGGGTCAGCGAGCTCGTGGTGGCGGTTTGACTGCCTCGTCGCAGCATAACTGCACATTGTGCGTTAATCTGGGCAGAAGGATACGATTCGAACAGATTATGCTCAGCGTAAGCAGGGACACTGAGACATAAAATTATAATGTGTTTGATGTGGGGATGGTCGCTTTGCTACGGAATGTTGTGCTGCAGCGGCCCTGCTTTTGCTGTGTTGCAGCCACAAGCTCTACAACCTTCAAACAGGTGCAGCAGCGTGTGCCCATCCACATGTCAGAACTCGGTGCATCCCTCTCTGCATCCGTAGGACACTGCAGTAGCGCCGATTTGCATTCTTGCGCACGCTTAAATTGCACGCACCCAGCGGCGACGCAACCCAGCATGCCACACGGCGGTTTTATTGATTACACAGATGACTATGGCGTAGCAGATCAACACGCTCTAATGCGACATCATTGATGCACACTGCAGGATTGAGTTTAGTCCAAGGCATTTGGTGATTCAAGCCCACAACAGTGTCATGTGCAGACAGCGGGGCTCTGCGCCTCCTTGCACCAATTGTTGGGCGCAACAAAATGTGAGCATGCACAGCACGTCGCGCTCCCAGCCCACTGCACGAGCCCGGCGCCTCGGGGCGGCGCGGCCGCGCAGGAAGGGCGTGTGTAGAAAGCGATCTGGACTAGGGCCAATGGTGCCATTCTCCGCCCCCTGCGCTACTCTATGACACAGTCGATGACGAGGATGCGCCTCTCCACTGTAAAGCGGCCGCCAAACTTTTCCAACATGTCCGCGCGCAGCCGCTCCCCTGCACAGAGCGAGGTAAGGGGTGCATGCGAAGAGCAGGACTTCTTGAGGGATGAGAGGGACCGTTGCATGGGACCTGTCCAGCACAACTGCGGGTGCAGCACCCCAGGCGCTGCTCTTTGCCACTGCTGCAGGCTGGATTTGCACCCCCCCCCCCCCCGCCGACTCAGCCAAATGCGACCTGGCCCAGCATCATGCAATGCTGCTGACCGGCCCCACATGCCCTGGCGCCACGCCATTCGGCTTTCGCAGCGCGCGGTGCACACCAACACTTGTGGCACGCACAGCAGGCGAGCAGCCCAAGCGTGTCGCAGCAGGCGGGAGGAGGGGCGACGCACCCTGGCGATCAAAGTACTCCTGCAGGCGGAAGCGCGACAGCGCGCGATACCGCGCCACCAGCAGCGTCTTGTTGAGCGAGTTGCCGCCCTCCTGCTCTGCAATAGACAGGGTCGCGCGGTCAAACAGCGCGCCCTCCTCCAGGCACACGATCTGAACGGGAGGGGAGCGGCCGAGGGGGGCCGGTTAGCGAGGCATCACGGTGGTGAATGAGAGCGACGCGTCCCGCGGCTGCTGGGGCCGTGGCCCGCGCACGACCCCGCGCTCCGCCGTGCGCAGGTGCTTGTGCGGGTTGGTCATGGGGAGTGCTTATCGGCGAGATCGCGAGGCTTTTGGCCGCAGGCCCGAGCGCTGTAACGCTGACGTCAGCTGGCATGCCAGGACGCATCTTGGCATGCATGCAGGCGCGCGCAGAAGAGGCGGACTGGTGAGCCATGCCCGTCTGCGAGCAAGTTCCTGCATGCCCGTGCCGACGCACCTCCCGCATGTGGCTGCGCAGGTACTGCATGAAGGGCTGCGCGATGTCGGTGTCGACCGAAAAGTTGCACTCGTACACGACGCGCCGGTCCGCGCCCGTGTAGCCGGCCTGGATCAGCTTTATCTCCTGGGAATTGTGCGTCTCCGTCGGCGCGGGCTGCGCGGGACCGCCTAGTGTTGGGAGCATGGTGGCCGAGGCCGCGGGCCCGAGGCCGCGCAGGGCGGCGCAATCGTGCGCTGCGCTGATGCACGGTGCTGCACGCCTTCCTGCTGCTCTACAGCGGCGTTTGGCAGCGCTAAGTCACGGATTCAGTTGCTGTGAATTAAGCTATTATTCTTTCCAGGGCGAGCAGGGCTGCGGCGTGCTCTGGTGCGGCGAGGCTCGCACCCTGAGCGCTAGTGGCACCAAATCGCAGAACGCACACAACGTGCGCTTTTTGCGGAACAATTGGGGATGAAATTCGAGGGTTCAATGCGCGCTTAGTGGTTTGTGCCAGGTGGGATCGAAAAGAGGGAAGTCCCCCGTCTGTTGATCTGTGAGCAAGAAAGGTGTTGTGAGGGCCATGCATTGATTGGAAAGCGCCCAGAGGTTGGTGATGTGTGCGGCCATATGTCAACAAAACTGGCAGTCACCGCGCAAGTGCCGTGAGTTGGCAGTCGCCGTGCCATGCCGCATGGCCTTGCTTGGCAAAGTCAGAAGAGCGAGCAAGCGGTTCAGCTTGCGCATCATGTAGACGACGGTCGTCGCCGCATGATCACCAGCTGGTCGTTGACGAATACTCGGGCTGCCACAACACCTGCGAGCGCTTCAAACAGCATCTCCCTGCGGTGACGACAGGGCAAGAAGTCAAGCACAGTCTGCAGTAGCCGGCCGGCAGAGCGATACGGTCCCAAGAGCGCAAGAAAGACTGCAGCCGGCCGATCTGCCTCATGCCTGGAGCAATTGCAGCTTCTGAGCTGGGGCTCCCAAAGAGAACGAGAGGGTCGACGGGCGCTTTGCAAGCCGGCGCACCTGGGGACTTGGGTGAAGGGCACCAGCTCAAAGCCCGCCACCCGCTCGTAGAACTGCGTGCGCCTGGAAATCGTGGTGATCCACACCGTGTCGCTCGTGCGGCTGCAGAGGTGCTGCACCAGCGCCGCCCCGATGCCCTTGCCCCTTCGCCCCCGCCGGCAGCACGCAAAGGCAAGGTCGAGAGGTGGGGCCAGATGTTGATGTGTGCAGGTGTGGGCAACACACCTTGGTGCAGAAGGGCCGAGGCGCTCTGCGCGTCGCGCATGCCAAGCAAACCTCATGTGACGGCTTTATAGCAGGCGTCCCTCCAGACCCTGGTGAACGCACCTGTGCTCCTTCTCAACCACCACTGACCGGATCTCGCTCCGGCCAGGCCCCAGTGGGACGAGCTGCCCGAGGCCGATGAGGGCCCCGCTGCTGGGGCAGGCCGCCACCACAATGAGCCTTTGGTCGATGCTGAGGGGGTTCATCCTGCGAGGCGTGTGCAGGCCGCGGCATGCAGTGGGCCGCGGCTGCTGACTGTGCTCGAGGTCAGCGAGTGCCAGCCTCCCTGCGCCGATGAGCACTCTCTCCTTAAGGAATGTGCGCCGGCCTTCTGCCAGCCGGAAACCCACCGCTCCTCAAGCACGAGTCGCCTGCAGGTGTCCATATCCGCCTCCGTTGCCGGCCGGAACACTGGTGGTGCATTGCTCGTGCTGGCGCTGTCGCCGACAAAGGCGCGTGCGAGGCGGCCGCCTCGAAGGCCAGCTGGGGCGAAAACTGGACGACAGCATGTGATGGAGAAGACGCTTCTTGAGGGGCTCAGAGACGTGTGGGCGATCATTTCAGCCGTTAGAGATCAAGGCCGAAGATCAAAACGGATCCCTTTGTGAGGGGTTCGATGCGCGCGTGGCAGCCACGAGCGTGCACAACAACGACTTGTTGAGGGGCCATGATACTGCGGCAGAGGTAGGAGTTGGCTGAAGGCCACGAGTCGTCACCCGATCGGCCGGACGGACGGACAGAGCACAGCAGGCAGCGGCGAGGCTGATCTGGCGGGAGTGAAATCTGCATACATCGCAGCCTTCACAAGTGCTTGTCACACAGGATGAGGTCATGGACGTTGAGTTGAAGTTGATGAGGAGCACCTGTGCAGTGGCATCCCAGGTATGTTACCCATCAGTCGCTTAGACGTCATGCCTGAAGACAGCCTGCATGGCTGACCGCACCCACACAGCGAGTCATTGCCGCCTGTTGAGAACAAGCACTGTGTCTGTAAAAGCATTGATTTTGCATGTTACCACTCTTCATGAGGTTGGGCCACCAGCTCACTGTTGAGTGCGAAGTACGGTGAAGCGTTGACTTCGCTTGATACATGTGCATGTCCTCAATTGCATGTGTGCAACGTCAAAGACAGGTGTGAGGTGAAGCTCTTGCCCCTCACCTTGAATCGGCATGTACGCTGGCAACCACACCAGGTGCGCCATGCTCGCGACGCCGGGACAAGTCACGAGGAAGCGCTGCTGCTGTTGCTGCTGCTAGATTTTTTAGGATGCCGGTCCAACATACGTACAGGTGACCTGCCCTGTTGCGTGCAATACTCCCCCTCTTCCCTGTGCCACTTCGGCGTGCCCGCCCGTAGCCTGCTCTGAGAACAGCACAAGCAGCGAGAGGCGATGTCACCCAATAAAAATGAGACGAATGGGTGACAGGTGCCTTGTCCCGCACACGAGGCAGGTCATCATAAGCACGAGCATCTAACAATTGGACTCCATACTTTCAAGTTAGCGACGACAGTCAACGCGGCATTCATCGAGCAAGGAAGCCCATCAAACTTGGCGCACGCGAATCTATGGGCTTCACCAAGAAGATCAAAGGTGTGAAATGCATATGAAAGCAATTATCTGTCATCAGTTCCCTGCCATGTCAGTGATCGCCCGCCGTGACAGCGGATGGAACACACGCACACACACATGCCTGCCTACTCACAGCTCGCATGTGCCTGCTGCCGCTGCTCTTGGGGATCCACGCAGATGGCCTCAAGCACGCGGTGCAGGAGTGCTTCGATGGCAGCGCCGGCTACGCGGCCGCCGGTCTTGGGGCCGCGATGCATGGCGGCAGCCGCGACACTTTTGCCCACCCCGGCACGCTGATGGGCCCGCGTGAGGTGGAGCTGCTGCGGTCCCGCACGGCTGGCAACAATGTCAATGACGAGTGGGCGGCGGCGGCTGCGCAGCTTGCTCAAGACACGCCGAAGCAATACAGGTGAGCAGCTCTATGCCGAGCAAGTGGGCGACCTTACAGACGGCCCGCCCTGCTTCAAACGTAGCGATTCAAATTGTCTCAACGCCAGCTCGGTTTCGGCCTTCCTCCGGCGTTGTTGTGCAGCCCCCATGCGCTGAAGGAGGCTGTCATTGACTTCAACGGCGTGGGCAAGGGTCACGATGAGCTGGTGGAGAAGGACGGCAAGATGGTGCGATGCCAGAGGCTTCGTTCGTGCAGATGCAGATGATGCATGTGTGGGTGCGTGCGTGCGTGCATGCGTGCGTGCGTGTGCGTGTGAGAGAGAGAGAGAGAGAGAGAAAGAGAGAGAGAGAGAGAGAGAGAGAGTGTGTGTGTGTGTGTGTGTGTGTGTGTGTGTGTGTGCACTTGCAATCACGTTTGTGCGTGCCATAGGATGCGCAAATGCATGGGCCTTCACATCACCCCTTTGTGAAGCTGTACGTGAGCGTGCGCATGTGCATGCTTGTGCGAGCTTGCGTGTGTGTGTGTGTGTGTGTGTGTGTGTGTGTGTGTGTGTGCATGTACGTGAGTTCGTGCGTGCGTGCAGCGTGTCTAAGTACACATGTTGGCATGACGTCCAAGCGTGCAAGCAAGAGAGCACACATGGGCGCCGCCATGTGTGCGAGAAATTGCAGGCAAACGCGCACATGCTGGTGTCGCCCGTGCGTTCGCACCCAGCTTGGGCATGTGCCTGCTCGCCAGATGCCATTATAGCTGCCTCGTGCAGGGGTCTCTGCCAACTGCAAGCGTCTCATAAAGCACAAAATCATCCGTCCCCTCCTGGCTCGGCTGCCCCCGCCATGTTGACCAGGTGTACATGCAGACCATGATGTGGCTGGTCTCAGGGGATGACAAGGTGCGCGGCAAGCGGACGGGTTTGCGCATGTACGTGCCTTGGCACAAGTCCCTGCCATGCTCACCCTCACATCAGGATTGCACGCTGATCTTAGCAGCTGTCTGGTCTCACGTTTCTGAGGCCTTGGTTTCCGGTCAACCTGGTTGACTGCATGTGCGCCTGCAGTACGCACGCAACGCGGCTGACATCATATGGGCATGGTCCACCACCAACCGCGTTTTCAAAGGGCAGAACGCCCCGCTGGTGAGCCGGCGAGTGTACAATTCATATCGTTGTGCGTTTCTTGCGTTGCTTAGCTCCGCGCAGGCGGTTGCCCAGGTCCTGCTCCTTGCCCTGCATTGACAGCCAGCCGCAGCTTCACACTTTGACGAGCTGCTTGTGGGTCCTAGTGATGCTGGCCTGCCAAGCCCACGTGTGCTTTCTTTGGACTGCAGGAAGCGGGGTGGGGCGTGGCTAGCATGGCGCGCAGCGCAGAGCTGCTCAAGCACACGTGGCCGGGATGGAACAGCGTTGTGGAGGCCGCGTTCTTGAGGTGAGCCCTCCAGGCCTCTGCAGCACTGCGGCCGCACAAGACAGTGAAACTTTGCTACTCACCTGCAGATGCGTGACGCGCTTGGCTTGTCGAGGGTGGCTGGCCGCAAGGGGGGGGGGGCTTGGGTGCGGGCTCTTATCGTCTTACCATGTGCTAAACCCCCCGCCTGCCTGCCTGCTCCATGTTTCTGCAGCTGGGTGGACCGCCTCATCATGCCTGAGCTGGTGAGTCAAAGCTGCAATTGTTGCAGCCTTGTGGCCTTGTGCACTCAGGCGCTTTGTCGCAGAACTGTTGCTTACAACTAGCGTTGTTGCTCACCTCTCTTCTTCTCCCGCCTCGTACCGCAGCGGTCCGAGGCGCTCTCACGGCTGCCGCTAGGCAACTGGCACAGGTGACCAACCCTGGCCTGCAAAAAGCAGTTGTGTGCAGGGCGCCTGTTGCAGAGGGTTGAACAACTCGCCGTGCCTTGCCATTCAGGATTGACCATTCCTGGCTCAAGCCCGCACTCGCTGCCCCCCCACCCGCCCCTGCCGCAGCACCATCGCCGAGTGCAAAGGGCAGCTTGCGATCCTCAAGGGTGAGGTATCAGGCCTGCTTTGAGCAGGCCCTGCCAAGTACCTTAGTGGCCTTCCACTGAAGAGGCCGATCTGGAGACTGTGTCCAGGGTCAATTCATGGATGCCACCCTCACCATGCATTCCTTGACACCGCAGCAAATGGCACTGCTCCAGCCGCAATTTATGATGGCAGCCTGCTCACCTCGACTGTTTGCACGTGCGCCTCCAGGCGACCGGCGTCTGCTGGACGAGGCGCTGTCAGACTGGCGGCGGGTCATGGATGCGTACCTGCAGCCGTGCGGGGAGTGCACTGAAACGAAGTGAGGGGGGGCCATTGCGACGGCGGACGCGGGTCGGGGAATCGAGCGGGGACGGCGTCATCTGTCAAGGCTCGCAAAACTGGGGGCGTTGCTTACGGGTTGAGCACACGCCAACGCGAGCGGATCCGGCCGCGCCTAGCGCGGCCCTAGGCATCACCGGGCAGGGAGTAGCCAGCTCATGGATTTGGGGAACGCGGTCCCCTGTCAACGTGCGGGAATTCGATCCTCTCCGCAGGCGGGACCTGTACCACTCACAGTTTGGGCTGGGCGGCCTGATCCAGCTGGCCGAGGTTGCCTGGCAGCAGGGGCTGGACCTCTACTCGTACGGAGACAGCAAGGTGAATGAGTGGCACGGCGCTTGGAGTGGTTGCTGGGGCTGAGACGTGGGGGCCCTTGAGGGAAGGTACATAGGATAGGCAAGCATATGGCACCCCTCGTCGTCTCTGCAGGTAAGTTAGCTGACCCACAGCGCGGGCGTGCGGCACACGGCGCATCGATGTTTGGGACTGGGCGCTGTGCACGATGCCAGCGGCGGCCCAGCCAGCCCGCACGGCCTGCAAGAAGCAGCGCGCATCCTCTGCAGCTGCTGCAGCGCTGCCTTTTGCGTGGACCCCAACCCTGCGGCCCGTGCCCCACCCTCTGGCAGCTGTGCCGTGCGATGGAGTTTCACGCGGCCATCACGAACGGCAAGCAGCCGCGGGAGTGCTGTTACCCCCTCAAAGGCATCGGCTTCCTGCCGTGCGGGTGGGAGGTGGGCTGGAACCACTACGCGGGCAGATGGGGGGTCAGGTGAGGCAGGCGGCGCGTACCCTGGGGGCTCTCGCTGTTGCTGCGACACTGACTCTCAGCCGCAGCTGCACCACACCGACCGGTGGCTGGCGCCTTGCTCGTTCAACCGCATGCCGTGCAACAAGTGCTACTGCACGCCCTCAGACTGTCACCAGCGATGTGATGACTGCCACCCCCCACGTGCATGTTGCTATCGCCCGCAGCATGCCGGAGACGGAGGCTATGCTGAGGGCCAAGCGGCCGGAGCGCTACGTCTTCCACTGGGGCCTAGGCACACTGTCGCACTACGGCTCAGCCCAGGCGCTGGCAGCAGCAGGCGGCGGCGATGACGGGAACAGCCAGCAGCGGTAGCAGGCGCCCCGCGCAGGGCGGCTGCATGGAGCGGTCGTGCACCTCGCTTCCGGTCTGCGACTTCCGTTGTTCTGTGCGTGATAGGGTTCTCGATTTTGTAAGGCTGTGTGCGCCACTCGCACCGTAAGGTATGGGGGAGCTCGCGATGTAGAGTAACGCAAGGCGGATGATGTACTGTGTTTCAAGGCGTTGATTGCGGTCGCAGCGGACAGGCGTCAGTCGACAGCAGGGAGGTTGGATTGCCGCCGAGCCCCGTTTGTCTAATCCAGGGGAGTATTGGTCTCTCGGATATGCATAAGGACGCCCTCAGGACATAACGAGCGTCAATCACAGTTGATAGGCATGCATTGCATGGTCCCCGTGCGTTCGTGAGCGGCGGCGCCTTTAGTCGCAGCGTGCCGATGTTTGAATTTGGCGGCAAGGGGGCGGAAAAGGTTGAGGTGGGCAGCCACTCCTTGACGCGCTCACTTCATAAGGGCCACCCACCGCCCCTTCCGACTAGACTTCTCAGTTCGCACTTGCATTTCCAACATTTCTCGATGCTTGGTGGGCTCTCGCTCAGCAGCCGTTCGCTCAACGTCCGCCTTGCGCCCCGCGTGCTGCCGCCCTTGACGAGGTACGTGGCTGGCCTAGAAATCGTGGGATCATATCGGATGCCATATACAGCGTCGCAGGCCCTTTCGCGCGCGGCGTGATCCCCCTCCAGATTGAAAAGACCACTTCACTGACTTCGACGGCTCAACGGAACCGCCCCTCACAGGCTCGCAACCAGGACAATGGCGACTTACGGATCTCGTTGGGCCGCGGAGGAGGACTTTGTGGCCTCCACCGCGTCGACGGCTGTCGCACCGCTGCTCGACCGCACCGCCGTGGAGGACACCGCGCCGCAGGCCATGGACGAGCTGACAGGCATGCTGCTGTCCCCCAAACGCACAACCAAGCAGTCGGCGTCCGCATACGCACCGGACCTGTGCAGGGCCCTCAAGTCCGTTGTCAAGGTGCGGGCGGCGGGTAGGGGCAACCGCCACGCACAGAGCCGTGCCTGGTGCGGCGGCCGCAGCGGCGGCTGGTGCGTGCTGCAGCGGTACGGCAGCCGCCGCGGTGGCTGCCCCTGCGCGTGTGGCGGCCGCGCAGGCAGGCAGCATGTGTTTCCTGGAGGTTCTTGTGCGCCCTGAATGTGCGCAGACGGGCGCAGCCAACCACCCCACAGCAGTCGGCCAGCCTGCAACTGACCGACACCCTCCGCAATCGCAATCCCCCCAACGGCTTTGGCAGATCTTCACCACAAGCGCGAGGTGAGTGCTGCGCCATCATGGGCTGCAGCAGTGCCGCGTGGCGCTGCACGCCGCCCATGCACCAGCGCGTCGCCGCCGCCGGCCACCAGCCGCTGGGCCAAGGCAGCCCACTATCCCGGCTAGGGTTTGGCCCCTGCCGCCCTTGCAGCCGCGGCCGCTACCCGCTGGCCGCTACCCCCTGACCGCCCTGCGCGTGCTCTCCCCTACTCCCGCCCCGCGCAGCCCCAACTTCTCGCAGCCCTGGCAGATGCAGGCCCAGACCAAGGTGACGAGGCTTGGCTGTGCATGTGCTCCCTGTGTGCTTGCTGCCGCTGTGCACGCATGCATGCATGCACCACCTCGCATGCTGATCCGGCACGTAGCAAGCGCTTCGGAGCCCCGCACAGCCACATGCGCCTCACCATTGCGCCCCCCCTTGCCGTTCCACCCTCACGCAGTGCACCGCGAGCGGCTTTGCGATCTCGCCTCGGGAGGAGCGCCGTATCCTCACTAACGCGCACGCCGTCTCTAATCAGGTGGGCGTTTGCAATGCCTCTTCAGGGTCACGTTGGCAGCCTGCAGCAGTGCAGGCACCCTCGGGCAGGTGGTGGGGCAGGTCCTGCTCCCTTGCCATGCAGCAGGCCGCTCGCTGGACTGATCATTGGCTTGCGCCACCCGCGGCGCCCACGGACGGCGCTCTACACTCAACAGCGCGCTCGCAGCGCCATGCGCCGGCCGCAATCCGTCAAAACCCCCTTCGCCCCGGCTTCCCGCCCTGGCTGCCTCAACGCTGACCGGACGCCCGCCTGCTCGACTTCCCGGCCCCACCTCGTCAACGCAGGTGGTGGTCAAGGTCCGCAAGCACGGCAACGCGCACAAGTACAACGCGCGCGTTGTCGCGGTCGGCCACGAGGTGCGCCACGCAGGCGCCCCGCGCCCGCGCCGGGCCGCAGCGTGCCCCTTTTCGACCACATCGCGCCTGCAGTCTGGCCCTGCCCTCGCCGCTCGCAGCAAGCCCAAGTGCATATCACCAGCTCGCGCGGTCCCCGTGAAGGGTCCCTCTTGCGATCCGCTGCCCGGCCTGGCCTTGACCCGGCGCCCTGTTTTGCACCCCTCCTCTCGTCCCTGCCTGCCCCCAGTGCGACATTGCCATGCTGACTGTGGACGATGACGAGTTCTGGAAGGACATCCAGCCCCTTGACATCACTGGCCTGCCCGCCATGCAGGTGTGGGCATATGTGCGTGGATGCATGCGTGTGTATGTGTGTGTGCACGCGCGCGCAGAGATGTGCATTTGCGTTTGCTAGGGCTGACACACGAGGTTCTGGCTCCCGCCACCCATCTGCTGCCCCCTGGCTACCGCTGCCCGGCTGAGTGCATGGGGTTTTGCACTGCTTGCAGCTGTTGAGGCAGACGTCTCGTTGGCTGTGCACTTCTTTTACTTCAAGACGTGCGCGGCGAGCTGCCGGCCTTCGTTGCCGGTCCGTCCCCCACTCACCCCTCACCGGCCGCCCGCCTCGCTGCCACTGCTGCCGCAGTCGGAGGTGTCCGTCGTCGGGTTCCCGCAGGGGGGCGACAACGTGTGCGTGACCAAGGGCGTCGTGTCGCGCATCGACCGGCAGCAGTACAGCCACGGGCGCACCGCGCTGCTGGCCATCCAGGTCGACGCCGCCATCAACAGCGGTAACAGCGGCGGTGAGCGGGGCTGGAAAGTGGCTCTTACGGCGCATACCAAGGTGCCCTCAGCTGCTTAGTGTCCTTATGCATGCCGTTGCCTCCCTTGTGCAAAGCTGGCGAGGGTTGGAAGTTGTGCTCCCTCCTGTCTCAGGCCTCCCTGAACCCCCCCTGCTTGTCTTGTTGCGCCTCGATGCGCGCGCCGCCGGCAGGTCCCGTGCTGCTGGGCTCCAACGTGGTGGGCATCGCGTTCCAGTGCCTCACGGGCGGCGACGGCGTCGGCTACGTCATCCCGGTGCGCGGGGTCGCGGCGATGGCGTTGCCGCGCGGCGGGGCTGCGGCGCGCAAGGGGAGGCCGGGCAGACCGGGTTCGTGGTGGGGGTGGCTGGGGGTACCGAGGGCCGCGCGGCCGCGAGGCCGCCCGCAGCGGCGAGCGGGCCACCCTGGCGGCGGCTGACGTGGCGTGGGCCCCGCAGAGCGATGGCCCCGTCCAAGCATCCTGCCAGGGCTCGTCCACGAAGCCCTCCCCCTCCCCCCCC